TGGGTTTAGGGAAACCTAGTGGACTTTTGGACAATGCTATCTTAAAGGATTATTATGTGGACAACATAACTGACCTGGCTAGGTTTGACCATGTTGCATGCAACAACAATAACAGAGTAAGGTTTCTATGGGGTTTTAGACTGGTACCCTTGAGCGGACAACTCAAGGGGGAAGGCACGGAACTGTCGACTGCACCGCTGATCGACTAGTTTTACCGCAAATATGCCTTTCCGAATTTAGGGGGTAATGTATAGGAAGAGTGCAACCACTCATAAAGTGTTAAAATAGTATTTGTTTGGCACGAGTGGAGTATGATGTTGAGTATGATTATGCAACAATTAAAAAGCATGTTGACATGTATTTGCATGTTAAGAAAGCAATAAATACAACAATTTTTATAATTTAAAGCAGCAGCAAAGGAAGGAAACAAGAAAGATATGTCAGTTTTGCATTTTGAAGAAGAAATTAAATGCTCAAAGAAATTAAACAAGTAATTACACATAAAGGGAGGGTACAAATTCAGAAGAACAATCTGAAATGGTAAAAGCCTAAAAAAATCCCTAGCAGAGTCGCCATGCTGTCGCGCCCCCTTTTTCCCTCCGCGGAGAGGAGTCCGGGTTTCGACATTCATGGAGGTGTAATGACTCATTTCCTTTTGGGAATCAGGTATTATGTTTTGAAGAGTCGCGACCTAACAATTTTAAAGGTGCCTTGGGGCACTTACAGGGTTCATCTACAATTACATTTGATAACCTGAGATAGTGTAAGGGCTTGAAATTATCCTAAGGGGAAGGTGTTAGTCACCCCTCAGGATCCACTAGTGTGGTTCCCGGTCAGACAGTTTTTTGTGAATATGTGCAATTAAAAAGCAGATAATTAAGGATCACATAATAGGGGATATAGGTAGAAATACACAAGCGTTTGAAAAGCGATTAATAAAAGCAAGGTTTTGAAAAGAGTTATAATCTAAGCATGCTTATGAGTGTAGAGGGGTCCTAAGTTTGTCTGTAATATGGATCACATCAGTACAATGCCCGACAATCACTCCTTAGAAAGGGGCTACGCGTGGCATTAGCGCACCGGTCATCATATCCATATCTACCCTTTCCCACCCGTGAAGGTAATTAAAGCGAGGTTTGGTCTCGATTCTTATTGCATGTTGTTACAAATCCCTTCCTATCAGTCCCGGAGGTTAGGACTCCTATCCTATAAGAAGGAGGTTCTAGGCAGACCCTCAGGTTTAAAGGCAAAACACTAAGGCGACATACAAACCAGGTAGGACTGCATTTAAAGGGGGAAAAACACCGAAAACGAATAGGAGGTTCAATACAACAACACGTTTATTTACTAATAGCCAATGCATAAACCTATTGTATCACTAGTATTTAATCATGGAGACCATTGGGAGTCACCCCCACCACCATTGAATTAAAAACGAATCAAAATTATTAAAAGATACTTTCCAGAAAATAGAAAAACGTCCAAAACACAGTCCAAACGGCATCAAAATGCCGAGAAACACCATGATTCACTGCTGAAGCAGTGAGTTTTTCGCACCACGTCGTTTCCGATGGACCCATCAAATTTCAGCTCAATCGGAGTCCATCAAGTTCGCTGACCTCCGAAAATACCGGCAATTCGGTCCCAGATAATGCACATAGACAGCATGACTTATACACAACTAAGGTCTGAATTTAAAATCTTAAAGCAGGGTGTTTGCGTAAAGCAATATGCAGTAGTTATTCAGAATTGTAGAGACAGTTGGAGATTATTTTACCCTAAGAGCATGCTGTTCTAGTTGCAGAGATTGTTGTAAAACATCACAGTATGAAAATTACTACTTTGCTACCTTTTTCATGAGTTGATAATTAACTAGGCGTTTTTAAGCAAAATACAAACAGGATCCCAGAACATGTTTTATAATATGCACATTCAGATGACAAAGCTCTTAAGGCATGGTTACTAGATGAAAGAGTTGCAAAACAACTATATGAGTAACAGTTTTTGTTTCATTTATTCGTCCTAGAAGCAGGATTTCTAAGTGATGGATACGAAGCACGGGTTAATGAAAGAGATGCTGAAGCAGGAAGCATGAATCCTAAGAACATGGTTTCTAATTGTATGCTTCTAAACATGATTTCTATTGCACAACTTGGAATATAAACCTGATAACATGCTTTCTACCCTTTAACAACTATAGCATGCATATTCTCCCATCCTTTTTCACTAACCATCCCAGTACTTGTTTACAAATTATTACAGACCATGTGATTGAATTGCATAAACAGAAATGAAAAATAAGTTACAATTATAGGAAGACTGATTCTGACTTCCTCTCTGAGTTACGTAATAAAGCACCTCAAATGCTAATATTGTTCCAGCTTTCCCTCATATCTGGGTGTGCTAGAGATCCCTAAGGACCTCAAGGAGTCTCGGGTAGTGCTCAAACCCAGATTTTATGGCTAAGACAGAGTAAATGCAGTGCAGAAAAGGCCAGCTTTCATGCATCCAAGTTCAGAGGGAGCTCAAGGGTCCCAAAGCAAGGCTCACACAAAAGGGGCAGAACCTAATAACCTAAGAGTATAGTGAAAGTGCTTGACATAGACTCAAAAGGAGCAGAGTTGGAAAAAAATCTTGAAAACAGCACGTTTGAAATAAGTTTGTAAAAACAGTAGAAGGATTGCTTAGTGAAAAATAGTTTTTTGAAGAGAAAGGGGATAGGGGCAATAGTAACACATGCAGAACAGGTTCAAATATCAGTGCAGTTTCAGGAGTTTCAACCAGGGAAGTAGGGGTTGGGAACACAGAGGGGCCAAATTAAACACATAATTAGTCATGAATCAAGTGCATTAGGAGACATGCTCGTTGAAGGACATTGTCACGACCCCAAATACCTGTCGTGATGGCGCCTATCACATTACTAGGCAAGCCAGACCAAACAATCAAACCACAACCCTTTTTCATTTAATGAATCATTTGCTAACACGGTTTAGTTACCAATTATCATAATAAGTGTTCAAAAAAGCAAGTAGATATACGAAAGTCAACAAAACATGAAAGACTANAAACTAAAAACTACTAAAAGAAAATAAAAATTAAACAACTAAAAGGAATAAAAATAAAATAATTAAAAAACTACTAAAACAAAATAAAATAACAAAAAGCAAACTAAAAGGAACAAAAATAGACATAAACTAAAAACTACTAAAGAAAATAAATAAATAAGAAAAAATGAAATAGAATACAAAAGTGAATAATCTGCAAACATATCACCAATCACAGGGTACGCTCGCAAGAGCACATGATAAGCAATAGAGAAACAAGCCCGGCAAGGGCACACAATATCGATACAACAGAATAAGCTCGGCAAGGGCACACAATATTCATACAACAGAATAAGCCCGGCAAGGGCACAAGTCAAGCATTAATATATAAAAAAAGTGTACTCCCTAAAGCCACCCCCAACTAAAAACATTGCAGTCTCCTACTACACAATATCAAAATGAAATAAAAGTAGTTTAAGGGTCTCCCTGAGGTCTGCATCAGACTAGCAAACTGCGGGAGGAAGGCAGTCAATGCCATGAAGAACTTTTGGCCTCATCATCATCTGTATCATCAGCATCATCACCAGCAGCATTTGACATGAAGGAATACTCCTTGCTATCATCATCATCCCCAACTGGTATCTTCCTGTCCCGCTGCCCCCATTTGAAGGTGGCCTTAATGCCTCTCCACATCTTGATCATAAACTTGCCCTTTTTCTTATTCTTCACCTTCTCCTTTTGGAAGTCTAACTAAAGATCTGCATGTGCCTTGGCCAAGTTGCCATAGGCTGCCTCAAGTCTGTCAACAGTAGCTGCCATCTTGTCATAAGAGTCTACCTTCTTTTTCTGTGAATCTAGGTAGGCCTTCATTTCTTCCCTGGTGAAATATGCGGGTATAGGCTTGGAGGATGATGGCCCACTGGGGAGCTCTGACACTAAGTCACGAATGTATGCAAGCTGGGAGTTTAGCATCCCAAATGGTCCCTCAGGCACAACTGCTTGTGAGAATGACTCTGGTCCGAAAACAGTAGTGGTGACTTTCCTATTCTTGCTCTTTACTGCACTACCCTCACCTGTTACTCTCAACGGATGAAAGGGTTTTTCGGCGGGTAACCAATGATCGGTGCTACACACCTCAACCTCTGCCCGCCTACACAACTCTATGATCAGTGAAGGAAACTTCAACCCTGAGTTGTCATCTAGCAAATACTCTCTCAGCTCCCGTAGGATATAGTGACCAACATTCACAGGAATGCCATCTAGAAGGCATGCAATGATCAAGGCTCTGGTGTATGAGACATCTGAAATATTTCCACAGGGTGATACTCTGTTGCAGAGGATGTAGAGCCATATTTTAGCTTCTGTAGTGAAGTCGATCGACTTCAAACCCTTTCTCTTGTTGGCCTATTTTGCTCTCATACTTGCGAGATAGAGTTTAGAAACAATACATTCTCCATTGTCGCAATGATCCTTTTCGCATTGGCTCAAGTGGATGGTCAGGAAGCCCGGGAATGTCATTAATCTGTTCATCCCAAACCTCATTGTTTTGCCTCTAATGGTGAGTTGTGGGTCGGCGAAGTTTGTACGCTTAAGGTTAGCATAAAATTCACGTACCCACTCCTCATTGGCTTTGCACAGAGTAGGTAGAAGCACGACCAGTCGGAGGTTTGTAGACTGCCGTAGAATTCTGAAGCAGTTCGGCCAATTTATCCTCGGCAATCCCTTTTTCGAGCACGATCCTTTTTGTGAGAAGAATTCATAGTACCGGAGATGACAATCAGCAAACATGAAGCGTGCATTATCAAATTGTTTCTCAGCAGCCTCTTCCTCAATTTCATGATCAAGCGGAGCATTTTCGTTCATGTTCGGGTCCATTTTAGCTCAAAGTACCTTCAGAAAATCAAAATAATGTTACTCGGGCAGTAGAATCATGTTAAGCAATTCAAAGCAATAAAATTAGGCCAAAGAATCAAGTGGAACAGGCCCCAGAAGCTCCAGTTGGAAAGCTACTGGATTTGCAAAATCTGCCCAGTTTCCGCACCTGCGAAAGTTTTGTCGCAGGTGCGATCGCGCATTTGCGAGACGCAGATCGCTTCTGTAGATTTTCCCAGCTGAATAAAGGTCGTACCTGCAAAGAAGGCATTGCAGGTGCAAGGCCGCATCTGTGTCAGGTTTTCCGCTTCTGCGGTGTTCGTCATGGGTTTTAAAAACCCAGAAATTTTTTACTCTTTTCACTTCTTCAAAACTTTTTACTCTTTTCACTTCTTCAAAATTTTTTACTCTTTTCACTTCTGAATTTCCAAGTCTGCCCAAGTCTGAAGCTCGTTGACCGCACCTGGGGAAGGATCATCGCATGTGCGGCTCCGTAGATGCGGATAGCCTCAGGCAGAGCGGCCCATGATGAGAAACATTATCTCTGCAGAAGCGGGCTTACATGCGCATATGCGCGACCGGAGATGCGGGCTTAAAAAGCAGGCGCACCTCCACAGAAGTGGCTCTTCTCGTGCTGATGCGGTCCAAGGGAAGATGGCTCAATTCCACAAATGTGTACCATTTCCTCGCAGATGCGAGGTCGCAAAAGTGACCAGTGTTCCGCAGATACGGAATCACTGAAGAGTTTTGCATTGTTTCCACTCTTATTTTTGCTCAATTCTGCTTCAATTGAATTCAAATCACTTCATGGCATCATTTACCTGAAAATCTAACAATACACACCATAAACGACCTCATATTATAATTAAAGGACGCAAAATCTAAAGAAAGGAGACTAGAATGAGTGGTAAAATCACCACTCATCAACGATTTTCCCAAGAGTTTTTCTTGCCCAATTTGTTGGTAAATGATTCTAACCTACTTTCTTTCAATTACCCATTACATTTCATAAGTTTTCAACCTAAAATCTAGGATTTTCATGGTGGAAATTGGGGGTTTGAGTAGAATTAGGGACTTTTGTAAAATTGGGATTTAGACCTCAAATTGAGGTTGGATTTCAAAACAAATTACATAATCGGACTCGGGGGTGAATGGGTAAATAGATTTTTACTTCCGCACCTAGCTACTCTAGGTTGGGGGGTAGGCCCTGGGGGAGAAGTTATAGACACCTTTCCATACTTTGTATCTGGAGTACTTCATTTAATTTCTTCTGCAGTATTGGGCTTTGAGAAAGAAAGGATATAAACATAGTGGTTGTCTAACGAGATACTATGCAGAATAAGATCTTCAGGTGAGTCACATATTGCGCATTTACCGCTTTCGAATTTTTGAAATTGGATTTATGCTTTATTTAAAAGGGGGGGTGGGGGTAAGGTAAAGGGTTTCTGATATATCTGGAAAAATCGAAACCAAGACTAGGAATTTTTAACAAACAGGGTCAAGAATCATTACTCTTTCGTTTCGACACAAGAAAAAAGGATTTTTCTACACCCCTTTCTTGTGTCGAAGACTCTTGTAGCTCGGCTTCTTCCTCTTTTCAGAGTTATACCTTACATAATGTATTTGATCTCGGTTATAGGAATAATAACAGTATTATTAGGAGCTACTTTAGCTCTTGCTCAAAAAGACATTAAGAGAGGTTTAGCCTATTCCACAATGTGATCTATTTGTATCTATCATTAATATTCCCAGAATTAATACACAACTCTTTCTTGAATCAACAAACAAATTGATTGATAAATACATTTCCAAATAATGAAATAAATCAAGAAAAAAGGCGGACAATTACCTTTCTTTAACTAGGTGAAAGAGCAAATCAGACATTTCATTTCTTATTATAAGAAATTTGAGAGAGCGAATGAGATTGATCGAAAACATAGTCTGAATTGGATGTGTGAAGCATGCCGCCAGCTTTTCATCCGGGTTAACCCTAGAGATGTGATGTATTCTGAAATTAGCAAGTCCATTGCTTTGATTCATTTTCTTTTCTTTTTCCGCTCCCCCGGGAAAAGACTTGTCGGAAATCGCCGGTGGTTGGTCCGGAAAGACATGGGACTTTTTGGGCGTAAAAGTGCTTCTCTTACGATATTTCGAGTTGGCTCATTTCCTTTCTTTCTCTCGTCAACTGGGGAAAGGTTCCTCTTTGCTTTGATTCGATAGTTGGAACTCTTTGTATATAGGTTATGCCTAGGGCAAGACCCTTAGGAGAGAACTCTCACTATAGGAATATTACTTTAGAATATGCTTAGCCCTCTTACATACATAAGACTGCAACTCAGACACACCTGAATCAGATAAACTAGGAACTAAGACTCGCATCTTTGACACATGAATATGCCCTAATCTACGATGCCATAACTCGACTTCATTATAAGAAGAAGCATTCAAGGCCTGTGTGGAGGACATAGGTCCGAACCTCGGGTTTTGACCAAGCGGGCCCGAGGTTGATTTTTGACTTTTTGGGGGAAAATTAGGGAATTCTAAATTTATGCATTGTAATTGATTCCTTTAGAAATAATTGATATTATTGAGTCAATTATGGCTACATACGAGTGGTTTGGAGGCGGATTTTAGGGGAAAAGCCACGGTAGAGCTTTGAATTGACTGTGAAGTGAGGTATGTGTTGTGTCTAACCTTGACTTGAGGGAATTAGGAACCCTCGGACTATGTGCTATGTGATTCTCATGTGAGTGGCATATATGCGAGGTGACGATTGCTTAAACATCGCCGAATTATCTGTTTTCCCTTATTTTCCGCTTTCCCTTAATTATTTCCTTCCCTGTCTTAACTAGTATATGCGCTAAATGCTTTCCATGCTTAACCGCTACCTGTTAATCAATATCTTCTCCTATTAATGATAATAGCTCTTTTCATAATTTCATGATTCCCTGCTATTTGCTTAAATTGACTTACTTGCACCTTCTAGTTATAAATTACTGGAACCCTTGGACTATGTGCTATGTGATTCTCATGTGAGCGGCGTATATGCGAGGTGACGATTGCTTATATGCCGTTGAATTGTCGATTTTCCCTGATTTTCCGCTTTTCCTTAATTATTTTCTTCCTTGTCTTAACTATTATATGCTCTAAATGCTTTTCGTGCTTAACTGCTACCTGTTAATCAATATCTTCTCCTGTTAATGGTGTTAGCTCTTATCATAGTTTCATGATTCCCTACTGTTTGCTTAAATTGACTCACTTGCACCTTCTAGTTGTCAATTACTGGATTGGTCTCGCTGTGTAGTATTACTCGTGTAGATTCCTATATTGTACAAGGTTTCCTTTTTGGTTCGGTTTGGTATTTATTGGTCGTAGAGGTTTTGTGGTTTTAACTGTTGATTTGACAGTGCATATTGAGTATTTAGTACTGATATGGTGGGATAGGGCTGCACGCCGCAACAGGTGTAATAAGGGTGGATTAATATGGTGGAATAAGGGTGAATTCTTACTGTACGGTGGGATCGGGTTGCGCGACACAATATATGGAATAAGGGTGGATTGTTACGGTGAAATAAGGGTGAATTATGATACTGATATCGTTATATGGTGGGATCGGGTTGTGCGCTACAACATATCTATATACTATTTGTTGTTGTTGATGTTATTACGGTGAAATAAGGGAGGATTATGTGTTGTCCGGTGGGATCGGGTTTCGCGCCGCAACAACCTATGTGTTTCTATTTCCTCGAGCTATGTTGATTTTCGGTATTGTTATGTGAAACTCTAAAGATTGGTAATTTTGAACGACACCGGTTTATTCCTTGAGGTTATAGCTGTTATTTTTAGTTGAATGTATTATCATGTTTCGTATTTCCTTTTTTCTGCCTTTATTATATACTGCGTACAGGTTGTAGTGTAAGTGACCCGCCTTAGCCTTGTCACTACTTCGTCGAGGTTAGTATCGGCACTTACAGAGTACATGGGGTCGGTTGTACTCATACTACACTCTGCACTTCTTGTTTAGATTTTGGAGTTGGTCCCAGCGGCGGCTATTAGTGTGCTTGGATTGATCAGCTCAGCGGAGACTTGAGGTACAGCTGCTCAGCGCCTGCAGCTCCTGGAGTCCCCTTCTTTGGTTTTATTTAGCTGTGTATTTCATTCAGACAACTCTGTACTTATTTCAGACCCTTGTATGCATTATTCTACTAGCTCATGCACTTGTGACAACGGGTTCAGGGATTTGTAGCAGATGTTTGGTAGTTTTAGCTTCCGCATTTATACTTTTGATTATTTCAGTTATTTCAGCTCTTTTCTCAGTATTAAACTCAAACTGTTAAAAGGATAAGTTTTTCTAACGTTGGCTTTCCTAGCAAGTGAAAATATAGGCGCCATCACGATCCCGACGGTGGGAATTCCAGATCGTGACAACCGCTATACATTTTGTGCAGTAATTCATAACTCAAAAGTTTAAATATACAGACATCAAATTAATGGCTCAAAAACATCATTATGGCAACATAAGTTATCACGACCTAATTTCAACCATAGGCTTTCATGGCGCACAACGCTGCTATCAGGCAAGCAAATAATAAATCAAGACAATAGTCGATAGCTCATAACACTTTTTAAAATAATTACCGAGATAGATGGGCGAAAATCGTTTGAAAGTTATGGTAAAATACTAGCATTATCGTCAAGATTAAAAATATGATCGGAATATGAAGCCGAATATCATAAGAGCAATACCACAATGAAAAACAGTCTACAATCCCCAAAACTCAGCGTCACAAGTGCATGGGCATCTATTGAAATATACAATACTACGGCAACAACTGTCTGGAATAGAAAATAGGCAGAAAGCCTTGTTTAAAACTGCGGATCGTAGCATAGAAAGCTGCTCACCACAAAGTCTTCTCAGCAGCTACGCTTACGTGCCTGTATGACGTCCAGATAGACCTGTGTCAGTACTTATACAATTGTGCATAAGTGTAGTATGAGTTTGTAAATCAATGCGTACGCAGTAAGTATCTAGTGAGAGGATGACATCGACACTTACTAGTGGTCCAATAATAAAATATATATTAGAAAATAGATAGATATGAAGCATGGCAAGTAGCACCGAAACAAATAAATATATACAACATGCTTCTCAATAGAAGGATAAATAAGTGTACGGCCCGGAATCCCACCCTCGGGGTCATGATGGCACCTAACATTCACTTGCTAGGCAAGCCAACGTGAAATACTTAATTAACC